CCGCCGAGCCGCCGTTGGGAGCTCCCTGGACCCGCCGGGGGGAGGGGCGGCAGGCCCCCTCCCCTCCAGCGCCCCTAGCCCAAGCCGCCGGGCCCCGAGGGCTGCTCCCGGGGCCGCCGGGCCTCCGCTGGCCCCCCAGTTCCGCTCTGGCCTGGGAGTCGCCGGCCTGAATCGGGAGGCGGGTGGACCATATGCACTAGGGGGAAAGGCTGACAAAGTTGGGAGCAGACGGTGGCCCCACGGTCCCCGGCAGACTGGGCAGGTGGCCACGTTGCCCGGTCTTTCGCCCTCTACTTCCCTTGCGGGATCTCAGACTTGGCACCGAGGGCTGAAGCCGATACCCCCTAATCATGCCCTGTGGCCCCGCTCCAAACTCAGGAGCTGATGATCATTTTCTTAACAAACATTATTTTGAGCATTCTAAGCTGATAGTTTCCTTCGAACCTTTTAAAAGGGATTTTTTTCCAAACTCAAAATTTTCTTTTTCTTCCGGAAAAAAAAAGGCAGTGTCCCTTTAAATAGAAACTGAATTCGCTGCTCTGAGGGGGAGAAGGATAACAGGTTCATGGGGCAACTTGGTGACAATCACAGCTTCCTAAGCAAAACTTGTGTACGACCTGTCATTTTTCTGGTTCTTCTTAGAATGTTAATTCTGAATGGTACTTGCCTTGATAAATGATTTCGGTGGAGAAATCATTAATTTACAAAGGAGAATTATCAGCATGTGTATATAGGCTTAATTGAGTTTTCGTGGTATTTTACGATTTAGCTGTTTGAGCTGTGGGACTTAGAGAAATATGTGAGATAGCTGATAACACCCAAGTTGTCACCAAGCTAATGACCAAGTCTTAGCATAACTGTACACCTTGCACATGCTGTTGTTTACATATATGGAAGATTGCTTTTCACAAGCAGCTGAGTGATGTAAACATCAGGGGTTTCCTTTATTTCAAGTTTAAAAGCATTAAGAAGTCAAAGTATAAAGTTCTTATGTATATTTATCCTTCTCTATAGATATATCCTTATGTAATGAGCCATAGATCATAGGAATAATTCATTCATTCATTCAACAAATGTACATACTATGTGCCAGGCCCTGTTCTAGCTATGAGGGTACAGCAGTCAGTAAAACAGGCCAAAATCCAAGCTGAATTAATCAAACCTGACCATTTAAACTAAAAGTGAAAAAGCAAAAACCATTTTCCTACAGATTTAAAAGGTGGGGGAGGAATGTCTCTTTAAGTTGAAGACACTGTGATCCTTTAGGAAGGATTTTTTTCTGCCCATTGAAAAAGATTTGAACAACTTAATAGTGACACAAGAATAGAAAAAGCATATTAAACAGAATTGTAGACCAAGGACTTTGAATGGCTGCTAGTCACCGTAACATATGATGATATACCTTTATAGAAAGAAGACTGGGGATCCCATATTGTTTACATGTGTTGTATTTTGACATCTCTTTATATTTGAACAAATGATGCCCAATTTAATACCTGCCTGATAGTAACCACTCAATCAATGGGAACAATGTGAATTCATTGTCTAATGAAGATCTATTATTTTAGTGATGAGCTTTTGGAATTCAAATGTTCTTACCCTACAGTAAATATGCTATGCAAGTTATTCAGAGTTTTGCTGTAAAATTTTAAAACCCAACAGCTCTCAAATCTGTTTGCCCTTCTCTGTTTGGCATTCTTTAAGTTAGATGTTAATCAAAGACCTACATATATTTCTACCTGTCTTTCCTTTTGGAGCATCATATATCAAATGAATGTTTTAATTCACTTACCTGTTTCTTAGTTTATAATATGGAGTATTGGACTAAAGAACAAGATCATAGTTTTGTTTTTTTCCAATTCTGTTTTTAAAAATATGTTTAGAAATTTTTCCTTTATTCCTAAAACAAACAGAATGAGTGGGCTAGTTATAAATTATGGTGTTTGAGGATTTGTGAATATCAAATTTCTGTGATCATCGAATTTAACTCTATATTAAATTGTTCTTCATACCATCTATTACACATTTTGTTTCTCAACATCTAGCCAATTTTGGTCTTATTAAACAGAGACCTTTTTTCCTGAGGCTCTGTTGACAGTTTTGATAACCACTGTCTGCTGTTTCACAGCATAACCTTTCATGAACATTATTTTCATGTTCTCAGTCTGCACAACTTTTTGAGTCTGGGCATAGCAAGGAGGCAGCTGTGATGAAGAGAGCACTGGACTGTGGGCATCAGGAGACCTGGGTTCGGACTCAGAATCCCAGCTCTGCCACTTTGAGCCCCATTCTCTCATCTGTCAAATGAGTCTTGAGGACTAAAGGAGCTCATGTTCAGTTGTGAAACTCTTTTTTTTTTTTTTAAAGATTTTATTTATTTATTTGACAGAGAAAGACACAGCGAGAGAGGGAACACAAACGGGGAGTGGGAGAGGGAGAAGCAGACTCCCTGCTGAGCAGGGAGCCCGATGCGGGACTCGATCCCGGGACTCCAGGATCATGACCTGAGCCGAAGGCAGTCGCTTAACCAACTGAGCCACCCAGGCGCCCCAGTTTGTGAAACTCTTATAAATTCTAGCAGGCTATCCAAATATTATTTACCCTGTTGTTGTTATCACAGTTTAACATGTTTGGTTTATTTTTTAAGGAGGCAAGAGAGACTATAAGATTTGCTACAGTTATAAACAGAAGTTGAGTAGTCAAAACAAAGGGTCAGTTGCTGCTTGGTCTTGCTGAAAAAAATCCTATTGCTGAGACGCTTTTAATCATGGGCTCCGATCCAGCAACTGTGACTGAGGTGATTGTCAAATGATATGCTTATTGTCAGTATAATGACTGTGACAGAATTGTTTCGGGGCAAGGTAAAAGGAAAATGGATTTTAGACATATCAGCATTATCTTCATTTATATGTGTGCCCATTGTTTGAAAATTGAAATGTACATATATCTTATTCCAGTCAAATTAATAATCAAGAATAGGAGAAAAGAAACAGGAATGGTGATGATTTTCTTTTATGTTATTAAGGACTAAAATTCAAAACACATTTAAAAACAATCCGAGCCAGCATAGATCCAGAGTAGAAATTCAGTATTCAATAAATGTTGAGTGTGTGAGTTAATAAATAAATGAATATAAACTAATTCATCCTACTCAATTAAGAACCTGTGTTGTTCAGGGAATCGTGGAGGATACAGAATTAGATATGGTTTCTTGTCTTCAAGGAGTTTACAGTTTAGTAGATCATCATAATGCCCTCTTAAATTTGTACAGTGGTTTTGAGGTTCCAAAGAACTTTGCGTTCTGTTCAAGGAAAAATATTTTTGTTGAATTATATTTTAGCCGGCTATTTTAGTTGTTCACCTGATGCATTAACAGCTTTATTTTGCCCTGTGCTATTTTATGATGAAGTAGACAGTCGCCAGTAAGTGAGGGAATATTCTCTAACTCAAATGAGATAAATGTGAAAGAACTTTGGAAATGATAAGGAACGGTTATTAATAAGAGAAAGTAAAATAAATAACTGCACTTAACTGTGACATTCCAGACGTCCTCAGGTTTTATGGCAGCGATTCTCTGCCCATGTCTGCTCCTTCACACATGCACCAGACACTCCCAGCAGTAACGTCTAATTACATGCGGTGATTCTCCAGGTGAGGTGGGGTTGGAGTGCTCTGTAGTTTTTAAAAGCCTTAAGAGGATCCTGTGTGGTTTAGCCACCTGTCACTTTGCCATGTTCCCCACTTCCTTCCCCCTGAGAATTGCTGACTTTATAATGGAAAGATGAGATGATGTGTGTGGTAGGGAGAAGACAGGGGCAGAGACGTTTATGTTGAAAACTTCTGGAGTTAAAATTGTTACTTGCCCAAATAGGCATAATAAGCATTTTAAGTAAGGCACATGTGTTAAGCTTCAGGAAACTATTCTATATCTTTGTTACTGGTGGTTGAAGGAAGCGCCCCTTCACTTGTGAATTTATGAATACTTCCTGTCATCGTGTAGCACGCCACCTGCAGCTTCGAGGAGCAGGACTGTACCTGACTCGTAGATTCTTACAGCTTCACACCTTCAAACTAGAGCTGAGGACTCGGACGTCCCTGGTAGGTAGAATACCTTGGCCCGTCTTTGTTTCAGAAAAGAGTTTCCTGGCCTCTGACTTTTGGAATGATCCAAGTTTGCATCCTTCTCAGCTTCCTAATTTCCTTTTTCAGACCCTAGTCGAAATAATCTGATCTCCAGAGATTTCACTTTTCTGCCGTTCCTGCCTCTTTAATTAATGATGTTTCCTAAGCCTAGTTTTAGCTCCTTTGGGCTATGCTTATTAAAGCCACTAGAGGCTGGCCTGATCCTTGGCTGCCTTGATTGTACATGTGTTCTGCAGCCGAAACCCCAGACACCCCAGTGTTGCAACCTCACAGCCTAAAAGCATTTTGGTAATCTTGGGAGGCTTTTTCAGCCACACTGGACCTGACATGAAAGTGATAGATTCTGTATTGTTTTAGAGGGGTGTTGGGGAAGGGGGTAAGTTTGGACTAACCTTTCCAGTGAGGTGTTTACCTAATCCTTATATTTGCAGTTTGCATGAAATGCATTTGAACAAATCTGCCACACTGGAGTTTTGTACTTAGTTTTTGCCAGTAGTGTGTTACCTTAAAAGAAAGGTACTTTCCTCCAACTCTCATTTATGATTCTTCTTGTCTGAGTACTCTTGGCAGTTTAGTTTCATTAGATGT